AATTTTTAGCATGAGGTAATTCACAAACTCCTTGTAAAGCATTGTCCAATCAAATAATTCCGTTTTCAAATTCTTTCAGTTGTGTGATCTAAGTCTCTTGGATGTGGGCTCCCTTCAGTTCCGTTACAGTGTCATAGCTGCTTCTGCTCTATATCATCACACTAATGATAAGCTGGTCATGGAAGTGTCAGGTGAGAAATATTCTCTCATTTAACTTAGGAATAATAATATCAGGTCATTATTGGCTGATAAATCAACTTGGAAAGGACATAGTCTGAAAAAATAAACATTAATTGATAAATCTTGTCTAGCTCCACAAACCATTTCATTTTTGATGTCGTATAATTCAAGCTTCAACTCAAACACCACATTTTGAATGACATTTGATTATTTTCATGTTATATGTAACTGATAAGAAAAAAGCCTTTAAATTAGTTTAAACGATTGAATAGAAAAGGCCTTTCAACGATTGAATAACCAACGCCTTAATATAACTATTTGTTTTGCATCAACATTTCAGGATTTAATTGGGCCGACCTGTATCCTTGTGTCAAGTGGATGGCCCCCTTTGCCAAGGCAATTTTAGAGGTTGGCCAGTCTCCAATCAAATTTTTTCAAAACATCAACTGTGAAGATTGCCACAACATCCAAACACATAATGTTGACATGGCACTGCTGGTGAGTAACCATTTTCTTGGATGACATGATTTAATTTTTTTTTCTCTAGTTCGGGTTCTGCTTTGCTTTCTTTTAAATTACCACCCTTTAAACTTTTCTAATTTAAACTTTAATTTTTAAAAAAAAATATATTTAAAAATTATTTTCTTTCTACTTTGTTCAGTTTTTTAAATTTTTGTACGCTTTTGGAAAATGACATAATCCTTGCTTTATTCAGGATCGTGCCACCGCCCACCAAGTGGCATTTAAAGAGAAAGAGCAAGAGTCTGGCATGTCACTTGATCTCACAGCTCAACTAGTTTCACTCCTAACTCCAAGCAGTAAGACAGAAACTGTGGACGAGTTAATAGATGAGGAAAGGGGCGGTAGTTAGCAACAACAAATTAAAAAAAAAAGATTGAGGTCTTTCTTAACCACACATAAGCTTAGAACAATCGGGTGATTTAAAAAATTTGTTGTCTTTATTTGTTTGTGTGTATGTGTGTTGTGGAAATTCCCATCAAAACTGGTTTTAAAAGGGGGAGAGTCAGACGCTATATTACACAAAAATACAATTTCAAGATGAGAGTGCTCAATAGAATAATTGTATGAAATGAGCTATTGAGTTCTATTTTTCTTCTTCCATTGTTGACTTTTTTAAAATGGTATTTGAAAAAAATGTGTTCAGATATAGTGTTCAGTATTTTTCAATGGGCAAGATTTATAACTTTTGCACCAGTATTTGCTTTTATAGTTGATCACAAAAAATTGCTGGTGAAATAGTTTTATGGACAGATCTGAATCCTAAACTTTTTTTTGTTATGTCTCTAACTTGCAACATTGCTGTCGTACACATGAGAAATTTCCATCATTTTGAGAATAGAAAAAGATGCATGCAGAAGAAAAAAATGTAACTTCTTTAGTAATTTGATTGGAAAAAAAACAACAAGAAAACTCTTCTTATGGAGACAATTTTTTAAATTGCATTTTAAATGCTTCTGGCAATTAACTGCCTTCACCTTAAACTACCCCATTGCAAGTGATGGAATCGTTTGTGTGTTTGTTTATGTCATTACAGAAGATATCTTATTTGTGAGAGAACGTATATGCTGTAAAATATACTCTTGTAATAAAGTTCTAAGATTTTTTTCATATTCTATTTCTAATAAATGATGTGCAATTTCTCATGTCCATTATCATCTGCTGAAAAAGGATAATGGCCATAATTAAGATTATGTTCTTATTTTATTGTGTTTTTTTCATGCTTAGGCTACTGAATCTGATTGATTAAAATAAATTTCTAGATACAACAAGGTGATTTCAGTAAACTTTGACCGTTGCCTACTTCATCATCTTCATTTTTTTCCTCAGACTTCCCTTTCAGACCTATCCATATTTTCCTTTTAGTCTCATATCAAAAAAAGGTTTCAATGGAATATTAGTGTAATTGTGCTCGCCATTGTGGAAAAGAAAAACAATTGTATTAAACTTTTATCTTTTAAAATGTGTTAAAATGATCCCATTTGTATCCATCATTTGTATCCATCATTTGTATCCATCATTTGTATCCATGCTGACCATTTATTTTAGATACCGGTAACTCATTTTCTGTATAAAAAAAAAATAAAAAAACAACTTTTTTTTGATTTACCCACAAATCTTGGTATCATTTGAATTAATGAAAACTGAGAAATAACTGTGCATATAAAAAAATTAAAACGTTTCTTCTCCAACTTCAAAAAATAAAAATATAAAAAATTTTGATCACAAAGGATTCACTTAAACTATTGGAAATTTTTTGTGAAGATCTGATAGAGCTTTAAAATGCATTTTGTTTTCTAACTAGCTGTAATTTAAAGTCAGTATTTGCTCCCATCCAGTGCCTTACATTTTAGTTGTATGCCCATGATGCATGTCAAATTACTCACCTCCTCGGTTTTTTCCCTATTGTCTTTTGTTCCTTACTCACCTCCTCGGTTTTTCCCTATTGTCTTTTGTTCCAGAGTCGTTAAAAATTAAGTAATGTACATTGTTCAAATTTTTTTTTTAAAGTTCCGTTGACCACTCTATGGCTATCTTTAATTAGGTTAGTATTTCTTTGGAATTATTTCTGCTGCAACTTGGTTTCAGTGTCTGAATCATTCAAACTTAGCACTTGCTGATCCAAGACTTTATTATTTTGTATGGCCCCATTTTCTGCTAATCTTAAATTAATATTCTTTCATCTCAAATCAATTGATTTAATGTGATTCTCTGCTTATTCAAGGAATGTGATGTTAACCTCTCTTCATGTCTTCAACATTTTGGGTTTGTTCAACTCATTTCTGTTCTCTCTTTGTTTATGAATTCTGATCCAGTTTTGCTGCTAGATTAATTGTAATGCTTCCAGCTATTGTCATTGCTCTGCTCAACCACTTTCTAAGGTTAAAGAAATGTTCCTAACACTTAACACTTGCAAGAATTGCCCTTAAAAGTAAAAAAAAATCATGAGACTGGAGTTTTATATCAGTGAGACAATTCATGCATTAGAATTGTGTCAAGCCTTTGTCTTATCAATAAGCGTTGCAAAAATCACCACCAAGCAAGGAATTAGCTATGTCAAGTTAATGTGGAGTAGTCTCAACAGAGCAGTAGGAATTGTGGTGGGCGGCGCTGGACTTTGAAGGGTGGCATTTTCAACCATGAAGAGTTTTTTATAGAAGGGAAGGGGGTCAAAAATTGTCCTCCGTTTACGGCAGCAACCCTAACTAGGTCACTAGGTATCCGCCTTCCTTCCTCCCTCAACACTTCTAAGGTGTGGGCCCCCCTTCCTTTGCAGGTCACTTGATTGTTGCCTAGTCCAGTGTACATTGCTCCATTTCAATCACCATTCATTTTTGTTGGGCTTCTGAGTTTTATATAATTATAGCTGGGCATCATTTTAACTTGGTTTAATGTACAATTTTCTGACCAGTGAGAGATTTTGTGATTATTTTGTTATTGCTGGATTTTGTCTGTCAAAGAAAACATCCCTGTAACGATAATGCATAAAAAATGTCATGAATCCTAATGTTGGCCCCTTCTTTTTGTGTGTGTTACTTTGATCATAATGAAACAAACATTTTCATAATGGCATGATCATAATACCAGAACTTCTTTCCAATGTAAATTTGTATATGATTTGTTTGGGCAAAATGTCACATGCTTAAATCTGTAGTAAATCAAACTATTGGGATTGTTCAGAACTGAGAATGACTTTAACAAACATACCGTACTTTGGATTACAACCATTAAAAAAAATTTTGAAAAGGTATGTTTCTGATCGTCATCTTGTGTGAAAAGCCTAATATTTTGTTACTTCTCATTCATGTAAACTCTTGTTAAATTTCCTTTTTTTTATTCAATGTTAAATTTTTTGTAATGATTTTTTTTCAATATATTTACAATAATACTTACAATGGCAGAGATGTATGGGACCACAATAAATGCTAATGAAATTTGTAATCATGGTATGTTCCACAAGTATGTCTGTATCAATGTACTCAAATTTTGGTATGTTTTTGTTAAATTTCATATTAACAGCCCAGCTCCTGGGATGCTGTCACAATGCTTGGTTAATTATTTTCAATACTAAACGTTTTTTTTTTGTGTCTTGTGTTTTCAAGCCCGTGTTTCAATTCATCTGGATGATGTTACTTCATAAAATGCTTAGTACAATTTGTTTTATAAAATAAGAATCATGATTGGTCAGCTCTGTGAATGAAAAATATTTATGTGTGTGAATGTATTTATTGACATTTTTCTCAGACTGGCAAGAAACTGAGTGACAGAACTGTGGGTCGTGCAATCAAAAAAACTGGAGGTTGATATTACACTGTAGTGAGGAGTGACTTGCAGATGTTCTCAACGTGGCACATGAGTTTATGTTTAATTTATACACCCAATGATTCCCATTGAGCAGAGGTTGAACTTTGAACCCCACTTGACTGACCTCCATCCAAAAATTGATTTAACAATTATTATTTTTTAGATCATTAGATCTTAATGAAATAAATTATCTGGGTTTTAGTTTACAGTTTGAGAAGATTATTCATCTCACCTGGCAATGTTCCTAACACATTGGAGTGAATTGGTGCTTAAACTGATTCTCAAATTATGCTGTTACATATGAAACTAATGGAATAATAAATAAAAACATGTATTTGCAATTCAAAATGTTTTTTTTTTTAATTAAATTTTTTAAATATTTTTTTTTACAAATTTTATTAGAAATTACAAATGGAAAGATGTACAATAAAGTTGAACAGAATTATGAACAATATTGCATCCTAAAACTCTATTAATTAGCTAGTTATCTTTTATTCAAAGAATATATGTGATACAATTATATAGTGGCTATAAATAATTAGTTAGCGACTGGGTATCATCTTGTCATAAACTTATATCATATTCATCAGCTATCTACCCATTGTAGTACTTACTGTTGCTTATTTAAAACTGGCCCTGCTTCTGGGACTGTGTTCAAACTTGATGTGTTCTGATAGAGTAACTAGCTGGTGACCACATTTTAACTTAATGAGAAACCAATTGTGTTCTTCTATTTCAAGATTTTCAAATACTTCTTCCAAAATATTTTTTTTTTCACTACACAAACTATGTCAATTCAAAACACTTGTGGACCATGTTCTCTATTTGATATTCTATGAAGAAAAAATATGAATTTGTTTGTATTATTTTGTTTTCACCTTACAGATTTTAAAACATCTATGGAAACCCAAATCATCTTGAGCAGAAAGGATTTTTTACTATTGTAACTGCCAATTTTTTATATTTTTTTTTGGACAGTGTAGCACAAGGTAGTTGATAAATGGATTGAAAATAAAGAACCTATTACTACTATTACTAAGTGTGGCTAGGTTGTTTGGAATATAATGAAACAAACTTTAGAAGTGGACGCATTCCATTCAAAGTATAAAGTATTAAAGGTAAATGTTAACATCGTTATTAGTTTCCATCATTTTTGACAATATAAATATTTTGTGATACCGGTACAGGGGAGATTAGTCCGACACATAAATTAGTATAAAATTAAAATTGGAAAAGTTGTCTTTCTTCAAATTAATCTTCCTGTTGGAAGATACGGTATAGAAAAACATTAAATGTAGAGCTGAATTAAAAAGATGCTATGGGTTCATCAAACTTTTAATTACATCAATGTAGACATTTTGTGATATATTGAGAAAGTGAAAAATACTTCGGGAGTGTTCGGTAAATAAAAAAAAGTGTATCTTTCCTCTTGTCGCTTTTTGTATTGTACATAGCTACAAACTTGCTACTATTCTAACTAATGTGCTACACTGTGTTGTTTATGAAACAGAAACGTGTAAGTGTTTGTGTCTTCATTCCACACGCAATATGTAATAAATATGAAATAAATTAAAATATTTATTTCCTGCAGTGTGTTGTGTTATTTCTTGCGTTGTTAGAGCACTGTCAGTCAATGAGAAATGTTGTTAGAGCACTGTCAGTCAATGAGAAATGTTGTTAGAGCACTGTCAGTCAATGAGAAATGTTGTTAGAGCACTGTCAGTCAATGAGAAATGTTGTTAGAGCACTGTCAGTCAATGAGAAATGTGCAGGGGCAACTGCAGGACAAAAGTCAAGCCTGTCGGCCTTGGCCTCTCAGGTCAGTCAGCCTTGGCTCATTCAAGTCAGTCAGCCTTGGCTCCTTCAAGTCAGTCAACCTTGGCTCCTTCAAGCCAGTCAACCTTGGCTCCTTCAAGCCAGTCAGCCTTGGCTCCTTCAAGTCAGTCAGCCTTGGCTCCTTCAAGTCAGTCAGCCTTGGCTCCTTCAAGCCAGTCAACCTTGGCTCCTTCAAGTCAGTCAGCCTTGGCTCCTTCAAGTCAGTCAGCCTTGGCTCCTTCAAGTCAGTCAACCTTGGCTCCTTCAAGCCAGTCAGCCTTGGCTCCTTCAAGCCAGTCAGCCTTGGCTCCTTCAAGTCAGTCAACCTTGGCTCCTTCAAGCCAGTCAGCCTTGGCTCCTTCAAGCCAGTCAGCCTTGGCTTATTCAAGTTAGTTATAGCTCGCTTAGCTTATTCGAGTCAGTAAGCCTTGGCTCATTCAAGTCAGTCTTGGCTAATTCAGGTGTTTTAGCTCATTCAGGTCAGCCAGTCTTAGTTCACTATGTTGCACATTAATGTTCTTATAGCATATTCAAATGAAGAAGTTACAACTGTTAACTGTTTTAGTGTTAGCCTTGAGGAAAATGGATCTGTAGGGCTGCTGAGCCGGGTGCATTTTGTTTTTGTTTTTTTGTGGTCTAGTGATGGGTGCTTGTATTTTTGAGTCCCTGCCCGGAGGATATGTCTTGGGTACCATACTACAATTTAGGAATTATCTCCGGCAGCGTTTCCCAAACTTAAGTTTCACTGACCGGTTGACTAGTTTCGAAACGGCACCAGGGACCGGTGCCAGATTTATTAATTACATTTCTTTCTATTTAAACATCAATATTCATGCTCTCTGGACCGGTAACGTAAGGCTTGCGGACCGGTGCCGGTCCACGGACCACCGTTTGGGGAACGCTGATCTACGGCATAGAAAGCAAATGTGTTTACTTTTTTAAAATATTTTTTTTTACCTTTTGGGTCCTGTTAATAAGTAAAAGATGATTAAAATAATTAAAATCTTTTTATTGATTGACATGGATATAAAATAATTCAATCACGACGATGGATCTAAATAATAATCGAATTTTTTACCCAAGTGTTTTCTGCAATGTTTGCCACCTATCGCTGGTCAGTTTCTTATTATTTCATGAATGGTACAGGTGAGCAAAGTAATGCAGGAATACCAAGAAACTTGCCACTGGTTTCCCGCAGTGGTAGAAATTGTTACGTTCTGACATCTACATGAATTAAGCACCGAATATGTGGCCAATAACACCGTATGAATCACTCTTGGCATTTTACATTTTAAATTGGAATCGGACGGTACAATAAATATCACACTATTCAAATTGTAATGCTGAAAGTTGCTTCTGGCATCAATGGTCCACATGTTTCCCTTCCTGTAGTCCAGTAGACGTAATGTACACACTGTCATCAAGAAGTGCCAATGGCTTAAGTTTCTCCGTGATGTCAGTCACATTGTTGACACGGGCAAACCCGTTGCCGTCATATTTGTATCCCATTGTTGTGTAGTGCGCTTCCTGGAGCCTCGCCTGCCCCGCGTGGACTGCGTTGTTCTGGTAGCTGTAAGAATGGAGGCCGGGAAATGACGGCGGTGACAGCGGGGCCTCGCTCCACCAGTTTGCAGGGAGCCCATTTCCCGGGGCCAACCCCAAGGGGATAAGAATGGGAGGGTAAAAAAATTGTCCTGGGAACGGAGGCATAGGCAGCTGCGGAGATGGGACAGGAGGCGGTGAGTGTGAAAATCCTGTTAAGTCAGTCGATGTGAGAAGGTCAAGGTTGGAGGGCGAAATCTGTGATGGAAGCTGACCCGTTACCATGGGGTGAGATGGGAAACCATCATCATCCAAAAAAAATGTCATCAGAGGGTCTCCTGAGCTGCTCTTTACAGGTTCCACGATTGCCGTTGGTGCTGCAATGCGAACTTTAAATGGATCTGCAATGAATGGGATGCTGGTTTCAGTTTGTTGCTGAGAGGAATTTGCTGGTTTTTGTGTTGTGTTGAACGCATTTGTCAGGCTGCTAGATCCCAAAAGAAAAGAGGACGAGACCGGGGTTATGTCTGAGGATCTTCTGCGTTTGGTTAGGGAATTGTTGACATCTGGAATGCTCATGTACAGATCGCTGACACTCGAATGTGTGCTCCCAACCAGTTCTTCATTGCTCAAGGACTTCACAATGTTCCATGGGGGATTAGTAATTGTTGCCCCTCCGCAAACCACACAAGCGGCCATTTCTGACACGAAGTGATGTCTCTCGGATCTGACGTCATAACATGTGCACTTGTTTGAATTCATGGCTTTCGGCTGGCCGTCTTGCTTGTTTTGAGACGAAGGCCGCTTGAAGGTAAAACGTTTCTTTTTCAGGGAGGAGAAGTCCAAATTCTGATGGCTGAAACTCTTGGAACTGGGTCGTGCAGGCAATTCAGGAGGTGAATCGGTTTTCTTTGACCTAATTATTTTTTGCACAGAAGCTCTCAGCTCATCCAGTTCTTCATAATCGTTCTCGAATTTGGCTTCTGCTGTGCGGTGTCTACGACGGCCCTGAATATCCCCTGTACTGTTTGACCTCCTTCTTGTCGAATCAACGGGCGAGGATGTGAGCTTGGCCTCATGTGACTTTTCAATCCTGTGATCATGCGTCAGAGATGATGTGTCATCCGAAGTCCTTGGAAAAGTCATTGTTGTGAACGGAGCTCCATTACGTTGTTCTTTGTACCGCGCATATCTGTCGGATTTACTCAGTTGGATGGAGCTGTCGAACCGTGAATCAATATCATCGACAAGAAGTAAGTGGTCGCCAGTGACAATATCTTGTTTAACGATGGCGTCGTCACCAGCGTTCTCTAAAGACTCGGAGCTGAAGGTGTTTCTCCTGACCTTTGCAGGCAGCCCAACATCTTTGATAACACTGTAGCCGCCGTCTTTTATTAATTTATTGGGATGGGAGTTTTGCCTCCTGTGCCCGTTCTCCTTCTTCTCGCCCTGTTTTGAGTTCGGCTCATTTCCGGTAACGCTGCCGTGTGACGGTTCCTCCCCTTCCACCAGTGCTTCCAGCTCGGAGCCAGATCTTGCGGCCACCGAACCGGACTCTGCGGAGCGCTGACGAAATGAGTTGTTACTGTTGATCATCTCCTGCTTCAGCATCGCAGGGGAGACTAAACAAGTGGGGGAGGTGCCGGTGTTTGTGCAAGTGGTCGAGTTTGAACTGTCCGACCCGGACCTATCTCTTGAATCTACAAAAACCGGATTGTTTTCCAGAAGGTGCTGGAAGCTTTTTTCGCTGACTGTGACGGATATCGCCCTCTGCCTCGGAGCGGCTGCTTTCCTGGCATTTTGTTTTTGTTCCAAGGCCAAGCAGATAGATTGCCGGATAGCACTCAGGATGTCCTGAGCCTCATCAGACACGAACCGAAAGCAGCTTTGGCCAGTGGGTGAGTTTCTGTTGGGGAAATATTTCAAGGTTAAAGCGAGCTGATCATTGAGAGTGAGTGATGCAAGACGAGCGTGGGTAAGGTGATTTGTTCACTGAGACACACAAGCATGAGCTAAGGACTGATAAGTTAAAATTGGTTTAATTTTTTATCTCATTACTGATTTTTATCGCATTAATATATATTACCCGGTACATTATTTTTTTAGCTTTTGTTATATTTATACTCTCATAGGAATAACCTGTTTAAAAAATCTACCATCACATATTAAACCTTAATTTTATATCCAAGGACATCACATCAATAAACTACCTGAAATTTGCTAGAATGATTGATATAAATTTTGCACTATCTAATGTACTGAAAACTACTAATAGTCCACATTAAATCCCTAAAAACGATGAATCTACTTATAACAGACCATATTCCATCCGTAAAAGTGATGAATCTACGTATAATAGACCACATTCAATTTCTAAAAAATCACGAATCTACTTATAATAGACCACATCGAATCCCTAAAAATGTGAATCTACTTTGTAGACTACATTCAATCCCTAAAAATGGTGAATCTACTTACGGACCACATTTAATCCCTAAAAATGGTGAATCTACTTACGGACCACATTCAATCCCTAAAAATTGTGAATCTACGGACCACATTCAATCCCTAAAATGGTGAATCTACTTACGGACCACATTCAATCCCTAAAAATTGTGAATCTACTTACGGACCACATTCAATCCCTAAAATGGTGAATCTACTTACGGACCACATTCAATCCCTAAAAATTGTGAATCTACTTACGGACCACATTCTATCACTAATATGTTCATCACGCCAGTGATAGATTCCTTTTGGACATCAAATTTCTTGAGCGTACTGAGTCCCCAACTGAGGATGCACACGTTCGTCTTGTCTACCAGACTGATGCACGTTGGGGACACTCTCATGGTCATGTCACCAGATAAACTCCACTTCTTGGAGTGATCGTTACTTGACACACTGACTTGATAGCATTCTAGGGAAGGCAGGAATATTATTTGGATGAAGCACTGTAAGGGATAGTGGGAAAGTTGTATTGAGAAAATGCACATCTTATTAGTTGTATTGAGACACTGCACTTCTTATTCTTTGTTTATTGCTTATTACTAAAGAATATAATATGAAATTTTTATACTATAACAATAGCAACAAGGAAGTTATATTTAGCCTACTCGTAAAAATCATAACTTGAAAAACTGCTTTTTTCTTGAAAAATGTAATTTATGATAAATATATAAATTAAAACATGCATAATTTCACACTCCATTTATAATTATAAAATGTATCCAAGTACTAGTACTAAATTATATTTTTGAATTTAAATACATGTATTAAATGAGCATTTTAGTCATAGTAGGCTCGCATTAATGTAAATTATAATAATAAACCTGTGAGTTGGAGGGGGAGAGAATTAATAATTCAGGAGGGAGGTAACTTGTTATAAAAAATGTCACGTTAAATTTTATTCTAATCACATCCCTTTGATATAAGATTCAATCTTTTGACCAAGGACTATTTCAAATTTGCGGCCCACATACTTATTTTTATAATAGACATAGGGGCAACCTATAATGACGTCACGCTATTTTGGTCGATTTTTTGCCTCCCTTTCCTCGAATCGTCACAAGATTTAGACATCCTAAATAAAATGCATTTAAATACATCTTCATAAATTTATGACAACCCCCCNCCGATGCTTAATTTATGCCCCCCCCCCCTCTTAAAAATATTATGTGAAAATAAAGATACGGCAGATTTAAATTGATTAAATTGTCTGACAAGACTAAGTTGTTTATTTCTCCAAGACTTAAGACACAAGGAAGGTTGATAAAAAATTACCTCGAATAAGTTTTATAAATTGAAACAAATATATTTCATACCAGTACCAGCGACCAGTTAAAAAAAAAAAAGGCTGCGACTATTCGTAACCGGGTACAAGAAGTGAGAGATTGGGATTAAAAACCTATTTAAAATTTTATTTTTGGGTTTGAAAGACAAAATGAGGTATCAAATGAAAGATAATTGAATGGACTGTACGTTTGTAAACTTAATTCTTCAGTTTAGCTAAAATAAACTACCGCAAATGACATCCGAATAGCTTGAGTCAAATGGTACCCGGGTGAGAATGTCTGGGTCCATTTTGACTCAGTGCTATTCGGATGTTATTTGTGGTGGTTTATTATAGTTAAACTGAAGAATAAATGTTTACAAACATATAGTCCATTCAAGTATCTTTCATTTAATACCTCATTTTGTCTTACAAACCCAACAATGAAATTAGAAATAGTTTTTTAATCCCAATCTCTCACTTCTGGTACCCGGGTACGAATAGCTACTTCGTAAAAAAAACAACATAAAAATGACTATGCAATGGCCAACTTGTAATATTCAAAATTCAAATACAAGAAATCCCTGCATTACACCCAGCGGCACATTTTCCAGCAAAATATCTCCTATAAATAGTATACCTTTCTTGACCTCAATTAGATCCGGAGTGAGAATCAGCTGCAGCGTCAGCATCCAACTGTAGGACTCCAAGTCCGAGCACCCGCTGAGAACAAGCACCGGGTTGCGCTCCACGATCTCGAAGGCGTTTCTGTGGGTCTTTGACCGCACGGGTTGGATGGACGTGACGTTCTCCAGCATGAATGTCGTCTTGTCGGAGGACTGATTCCGCCAGCCGGTCTCGGTCTCGTACAAGTCGAGCTTGGCCGCGAACTCATCACTGGAAAGGTTGCTCATTTTGGTCACAACTATCCATCGCCTCCGCCAGGACTGAAATGTGAAGCAGCATGTTGTAGTATCGCTTAGTAGAGCTTAAAACAATTAGATTACCTTTAACTTTCACCTTTGCACGGGCCAACTCTTTAACACGTGTCTGAATGTGTGCTTTAAAAACAGTACGATTACCTTTAACCTCCTCCCCTTCACCGACGAAGACTGTTTGATATCCAGGTAACCGTACTTTTGGGTCGGTGAGTCGTGTGCCATGGTGTCGGTGACCCAAACACTGTCAACAATCCACACACTTGCATCAACCGGGGCTGCTGAGCTGGGCGCTTAAAAAGTAGCACAGCGAGTCATTTCAGAGTCGTATGGAATTTCGCTGTGGAGATTGTAGCGCATTAGCTATTAATCGAGTAAAGACAGAAACAAATTCAAGCTACCATAATTTGCCAAAGTAAACATAAATAAATTAGAATGGAAATATCAGCAAAAAAATTAGCCTTAATTTGACATTTCAACGCGTCATCTGTGACTGAGATTCTAGCAGCCGGAATGCGGTGTGGGGTCTCAACACGGATGCGTTTGTCTAAGGATGACTATCACATGACAACATGCCAGTGCTGCGCAACCTACCCCCCGCGCCCCACACTTAGACCCCTCCCAGATTCCCGCGCCCCACACTTAGACCCCTCCCAGATTACCGCGCCCCACACTTAGACCCCTCCCAGATCCCCGCGCCCCCCCCTTCGACCCCTCCCACATCCCCCCCCCCCCCACTTAGACCCCTCCCNGCCCCACACTTAGACCCCTCCCAGATTCCCGCGCCCCACACTTAGACCCCTCCCAGATTCCCGCGCCCCACACTTAGACCCCTCCCAGATTCCCGCGCCCCACACTTAGACCCCTCCCAGATTCCCCCGCCCCACACTTAGACCCCCCCCAGATTCCCGCGCCCCACACTTAGACCCCTCCCAGATTCCCGCGCCCCACCCTTAGACCCCTCCCAGATTCCCGCGCCCCACACTTAGACCCCTCCCAGATTCCCGCGCCCCACCGCAAGGATGAAAAAAAAAAAAGGTTGACTGTTTTTCTTATCCGTATCAACATTTTAAATTAATTTGTTTTTTTTTCCTCATAGTCGTGAAAATAACAAGAGCAGATTCATTTTGTAAACACCAGCTAATATAACTTGAAATAGTTTTTACTTTTAAAGCACACAAATAAATTATAAGTTATAAGCAATTTGAGGTAAATTCATTATTTTGGAACCTATTTTAAAAAAAAACAACAACAACAACTGCCGTTTAACTTTCATTTTTTATTTTATCTGACACTAACGCTTGCAGCCATGTTTGGAGGGGTCATTTTATCATTAAATTCAAACAATTATTTAACATTTAAAAAATAAAAATAAATAAATAAAGGAAATGTTACCACTGCCTAGTATTTTGTTGTCCACAATATTATCCCCCTTTGCCTATGACAGCATTGATGAGCATCCTAATGATAAATCAAAGTGAATGTCACCAATGAATAAATTGAATCAAGCAAGTTGCCCCAAAAATGAATTTAAAAAAAATGAAATTAAAAAATAATATTACCAATAATATTACCATGGGCGCCCGCAGAAAACTTTCGGGGGGGGGGGGGGGAGAAAAAAATCGATTAACTTTCCAGGGGTGGGGAGGGGCAACAATTTTTTAGTAATGTTTTAATATAGTTTTATTTACTGTAGCGTAATTGTATGGTGAACGAACGGACAGGACATCAGCTTAGTTACTTTCTCTTTATTTTCTCTTTACTTTAATACATTTTTTGTCTATTTTTGTCTAAATTTTTTTTTATCCAATCAATCCAGGGGGGGGGCAAGTGCCCCACCTTGCCCCTACCTGCGGGCGCCCATGAATATTACCATTCCCTTAGGTTTTTTTTGTGTCCAAAAAACTATTTACCGTTGCCTAAGCCTAATTGCAATTTAATGTTTGAAAATATTGGAAAAGTAGATCATCATGCAGCTGTGAGCAGTGATCGCATAGGTAGGGTTAGTCATATAGCGTACGATGGCAGCAAGACGTCGAGCAATAATGGATATACAGACAGTCTGACTTCTGGTAGGCGACCTAAAGCCTCAACCATTTTCGGCCGAAATCGAAAATAAACCGAAATTTCTCTGCTCTTTTTCGAGCGAAACCGAAACAATGCCGAAAGTGATCAAATGGCAACTTTCGGCACCGAAACAGAAATACGGTCGGCCTCTTTATGATATGGAGAATTTTCTTTTAAAACAAGAAAGTTAAGTTACTAAAATTAATAAGACGTCACAGTATAGCAGTTCTTAGGATTTTGGGGGGCCCTAGGCATGGAGCATAGGTAGGGGGCCCCGGAAAGGGGGGTCCTGGGGACGGAGCTCCCCCATAGTTGAGGAGAAAGCACCACCCAGTATCTCCATTCTTCCTTCGTCACTGTTTCCTCTTCGCTCGCGTGTAACCACTAACCATATTGATGATTCCGCCACTAGAGAAAACGTGTACTTCTGAAATATATGAACTTACAAGTTGAAGGCTAAAAAGAAAAGCGCCCGGCGGGGCCCCTTGGCAGTGGGGTCCTAGCAGAGGCGTAGCGAGGGTGTTTGGCGCCCGGGGACAAGATTCGCGCCCGGGGACAAGATCCATTTTAAAGCGTCCCCTTTTCTTTCTTTCCACTCTCAAACCCATTGTTTTCATCAACAAAACAATATTAAAGCACATTTTGGTGCCCCTTACTAGCTCGCGCCCAGGGACATATGTCCTCCTGCCCCCCTCGCTACGCCTCTGGGTCCTGGGCGGTCGCCTAGTTTGCCTATGCTCTGGTCACAGTCAAAGAGATAACTTGTATCTACTATATCATCTACTGAAGTTTGAGCGAATTATTTTGAAAGCGTGTGGAATCAAAACCTTTCAAGCAAAGTAATATATAGGCCTAGAATATATATATATATACATAAGATATAGGCCTATAGTATGCATAAATAATATGTAGGCCTATATTATGCATAAATAATATATAGCCCTGCAGTGTGGATAGATAATATATATGCCTATAGTATATATAAACATATTTAGACCTATAGTAAATATAAAAATGATATATAGGCCTTCAATATAATATATAAATAATATATAGGCCTAGATTAAATATATAAATAATATAAAGGGCTATAGTATACAGAATAATATATGTGCCTAGAGTATATAGGTTACAAACTCGATAATGTTTAGCATTGAAAGATGGGCATGGATTATAAAATCTTGGCCAGTATGCCCACACATTTTTCTGACAATATTATTGGTCGAAACAAATTGATCTGTGACCTCACAAGTCAAATAAAAAATAAAATATTATTTATAGTTTTAGTGAATTTAAATAACATTAAATAGAACCTTATTACAGGTACTTACAAAGTTTAAAAAATATTTTTTTTTTCTTTACATCTAATATTTTTTGGTCCATTGTGGAGTCTTCAAGAATTTTAAATCTTGAATTTCACGTCGTGACCACATGTGTCCATTCGATTGCTTTATCTTCTAGTGCACAGTGGTTATCAACCTTCCTAATGCCGCGACCCTTTTATACAGTTACTCATGTTGTGGTGACCACCCAACCATAACATTAGTTTCGTTGCTATTTCATAAATATGTTTTTTTTCTCCATATTTTTTAAGGCGACACTTCGTTCCTGCACAGAACACGCATTAAAACATATAGTGAACGATCTCTCGTTTTTTCTGTGCCCCAAAACAATGAAATTATCTCCCATCACACAACCGCAATATAACGACAATCACAGCCTTCAAAACTGCCCTCAAGACCCATCTCTTCAAAACTGCCCTCAAGTCCCATCTCTTCAAAACTGCCCTCAAGACCCATCTCTTCAAAACTGCCCTCAAGACCCATCTCTTCAAAACTGCCCCCAAGACCCATCTCTTCAAAACTGCCCCCAAGACCCATCTCTTCAAAACTGCCCTCAAGACCCATCTCTTCAAAACTGCCCTCAAGACCCATCTCTTCAAAACTGCCCTCAAGACCCATCTCTTCAAAACTGCCCTCAAGACCCATCTCTTCAAAACTGCCCTCAAGACCCATCTCTTCAAAACTGCCCTCAAGACCCATCTCTTCAAAACTGCCCTCAAGACCCATCTCTTTAAAACTGCCCTCAAGACCCATCTCTTCAAACTGTACTATACCGGCTCATTCTCACCCCCCTTCTTATTGATACACAACGCTCGATGCTGCTGGGTGCTGTCCATGACTAGACAGGGGTAGATAGTACTTGAGTGGGTGCTGTCCATGGCTAGACAGGGGTAGATAGTACTTGAGTGGGTGCTGTCCATGACTAGACAGGGGTCGATAGTACTTGAGTGGGTGCTGTCCATGGCTAGACAGGGGTAGATAGTACTTGGGTGGGTGCTGTCCATGGCTAGACAGGGGTAGATAGTACTTGAGTGGGTGCTGTCCATGGCTAGACAGGGGTAGATAGTACTTGAGTGGGTGCTGTCCATGACTAGACAGGGGTAGATAGTACTTGAGTGGGTGCTGTCCATGGCTAGACAGGGGTAGATAGTACTTGAGTGGGTGCTGTCCATGACTAGACAGGGGTAGATAGTACTTGAGTGGTTGCTGTCCATGACTAGACAGGGGTAGATAGTACTTGAGTGGTTGCTGTCCGTGACTAGACAGGGGTAGATAGTACTTGAGTGGGTGCTGTCCGTGACTAGACAGGGGTAGATAGTACTTGAGTGGTTGCTGTCCGTGACTAGACAGGGGTAGATAGTACTTGAGTGGGTGCTGTCCATGGCTAGACAGGGGTAGATAGTACTTGAGTGGGTGCTGTCCATGACTAGACAGGGGTAGATAGTACTTGAGTGGGTGCTGTCCATGACTAGACAGGGGTCGATAGTACTTGAGTGGGTGAGGTCAAGCTTTTCCCCAATTGTTGTTTTTAAATGTATATGTTTCTGTAATTGCTAATTTTTACGTGAAGCGCAGTGAGCCTTGCCCTAGGCTGGGGTACAGCGCTATATAAATCCATCAATAATAATAATAATAATAATAATAATAATAATAAGGGTCGTGCGGCCGCCAAAGGTGTCACGACCCACACGCTGAGAACCCCTGTTCTACTGCCATTAAATGTATATTTTATTGCTGTTATTTCTATTGTTGTAGAATATAGTAATTTGGTACAACCAGAACTATCCAAGATGTTGTTAGCCGAGGACCGCCAGTTAAACTATCTATAACTATAAGGATGTGTGCTTAAAATGTTATCAGTCCTGGTCTATACGCTATTATACGAAAGCTTAAATTTGACAATTAATCCACCGACTTAATTCCTTTATACAATTAAAATCTTATCATATTACTCACATACGAACAGGTCTCAGAATAAATGTTCATGAACTTAGAAATTGAAGTAATCCATTATTATTCCAATGGTTAGAAAATCACTTGTTTCAGCAAACTCTATGATGTTACCCTTGTCAGTTAAAAGTTAGCCCACAAGTTACCAATTGGATTGCTAACCAAGTTTGGAAGAATGGACACACGTAATACAATTTAAAATTAAAGCTTAGTAGACGTGTACGAGTAATGACAACTCTGGATAAAAGAAAGGTAACATTATTCCACTCGGATTATTAGCGTCTAAGAGATTCGAACCATTTTTTTTAGCAAGTGCATCACGACTGTACTAAGTCACGCTGTGATTTGAATTACATGGCTACATATCTTCGTCCGGATAAACACAAGCTTGTTATCATTCACATAGACGCAGTACGTGTAGTTGGACAGTACCATCCGGTGAAAGGGCGCTCGTTCCATTATCTTCAAACAGGTTATCATTGGTGATGTGCGAAAATATGCCCCGCTTATGGGCACTTCGTCTACAAGCACCGACCTAATAAAGGAAGACTGACGAACCCGCTGTCATGATAACATTGCAGTTGAGTTTGCAACAACCAGTTTAGTAGAAGTGCGATTAGGCGCAGAGATGGATGACGAGGTGGGTGTACAGTTGGACAAAGACTAGCAATATTAGTGTTCTTATCGTAATTTGAATGTTGTCAAACATAAAGAAATGATAATGTAAACAAAACTCACCGTTAAGGAAGCCCGAGGTTGAGAAATGTAAAGCCCTATCTTGCTAGTGCAAGGAGAGTGTAAAGCCCCTAATTAAAGTCTTACATTTGGATAAGAACAAAATAACACAAATTGCTTTTTAGAAGTGGCCTTACCGCGGTCCTACTTCAATTCGAATGTTATCGTTAGAATGTAAGGCATTTCGAAATACAGTTCCTGGGATGATTTCCCTCCCTGCGTGTTCAGGCCTCTGACACCAAGAGCACATACCTTACAGCCAAGAGCACAGACCTTACAGCCAAGAGCACAGACCTTACAGCTAAGAGCACAGACCTTACAGCCAAGAGCACAGACCTTACAGCCAATAGCACATACCTTGCAGCCAAGAGCACATACCTTACAGCCAAGAGCACAGACCTTACAGCTAATAGCACATACCTTACAGCCAAGAGCACAGACCTTACAGCCAAGAGGACAGACCTTACAGCCAAGAGCATAGACCTTACAGCCAAGATGACCTTACAGCCAAGAGGACAGACCTTACAGCCAAGAGCATAGACCTTACAGCCAAGAGCACAGACCTTACAGCCAAGAGCACAGACCTTACAGCCAAGAGCACAAACCTTACAGCCAAGAGCACAGACCTTACAGCCAAGAGCACAGACCTTACAGCCAAGAGCACATACCTTACAGCCAAGAGCACAGACCTTACAGCTAATAGCATAGACCTTACAGCCAAGAGCACAGACCTTACAGCCAAGAGAACAGACCTTACAGCCAAGAGCATAGACCTTACAGCCAAGAGCACAGACCTTACAGCCAAAAGCACAGACCTTACAGCCAAGAGCACAAACCTTACAGCCAAGAGTACAGACCTTACAGCCAAGAGCACAGACCTTACAGCCAATAGCACATACCTTACAGCCAAGAGCACAAAGCTTACAGCCAAGAGTACAGACCTTACAGCCAAGAGCACAGACCTTACAGCCAATAGCACATACCTTGCAGCCAAGAGCACAGACCTTGCAGCCAAGAGTACAGACCTTACAGCCAAGAGCACAGACCTTACAGCCAAGAGCACATACCTTACAGCCAAGAGCACAGACCTTACAGTCAAGAGCACAGACCTTACAGCCAAGAGCACAGACCTTACAGCCAAGGTTCTAAAAATGTTGGATATCTGAAATTCGACTATAAGAATCATAGAGTTTTGTTTTTGTAATTTGCTACTTAATTGGTAAACAGAGGGCAGCATAGGAGGTCAGTGCCATTCAATAGAGCCGGCTGGCTTAGTAGGTCATTGCCATTCAGTAGGGCAGGCCAGCTTTGTAGGTCAGTGCCATTCAATAGAACCGGCTGGCTTAGTAGGTAATTGCCATCCAATAGAGCCGGCCAGCTTTGTAGGTCAGTGCCATCCAATAGAGCCATTGGTTTCTTGGTATATCCAACGTTCCCCTCCCCGTAAGTGCTAAAATTTAACATACCTAATTCTTTTTTGTTTTAAAAAACATAATTTTTAAATTTTAAATTAAAAAAAAATTAATCAAAACTTCTCCGTGGATAATTTCACGTTGATGCAGAGAAAAGTTATTCGATTTTGATTGCACCCAAAAATGACAGCATAAGGCCCATGTTCTCTAATAACAGCACACGTTACAGCTGCACCAATTACAACAGCACTTCTGACGACAGCAATTCTCACATCAGCAATTCTCACAACAGAAATTCTTACAGCTTCTCGTCTTAGACCTGCTTAAGGTTCCGCCCTGCTTAGTAACAAGAATATAGTCGACTTACTTGTCGAAAGATGTTTCTCATGAAATTATTGAAATTGTTTGACTGAGTATTAGTTAAAAACCCATCCAACCTCTTTCTAGTAACCCCCCCCCCCAGCCCCAACCCCCTCCCCGTCAGTGCTTAGTGCTGAGTTACTTGGGGCGCACAGGTCATAAAAAGGGTTAGGGTTATTGCTAGGGTAAAGATGTTTCTCATGAAATTATTGAAATTGTTTGACTGAGTATTAGTTAAAAACCCACCCAACCTCTTTCTAGTAACCCCCCCCCCCCAGCCCCAACCCCCTCCCCGTCAGTGCTTAGTGCTGAGTTACTTGGGGCGCACAGGTCATAAAAAGGGTTAGGGTTATTGCTAGGGTCATTTAAAAACTGTATAAAAATAACAGGAGAAACAATGTTGTGATAAAGCTATTGATTGTTTTTAATGATAGATTCCATTAATGATATATGTTAATAAACCTTCAATGCCAAGCCAAGAAAATACAGGAAGTAAATCGTTTACAAGACCAATGTTCGTATACATAATCATATAAGCTTAATAAAAAATAAGCAAGGAGACAAAGGCACAGGCACGTGTCATTTTTTTCCCTCATTATATCAGATTAAGATCAATGAATGTGAGTGACACACGTAAAGTCTCGGAACAATTCGTGAGAGTTCCACACAGAGGCGTAGCGAGCGTGTTTGGCGCCCGGGGACAAGATTCGCGCCCGGGGACAAGATCCATTTTAAAGCGCCCCTTTTTCTTTTTTTCAACTCTCAAACCCATTATTTTCATCAATAAAATAATACCAAAGCACATTTTGGCGCCCCTAACTAGATGGCGCCCGGGGACATCTGTCCCCCCTGCCCCCCATCGCTACGCCCCTGGTTCCACCACTGCGTCGCTATAATAAATACGCCTCTTTCCAAGACCCAACAATTGTGTCATACGTGCGGGAAACCTTTCCAGGCACACATAGTACTGGCAGGCCACCTGGGTACTCAGCATCCAATTCCGTCTGGGTCAAGTTCTCATGCGAAGGACGAACAGCATGGTAAAAATTTCGTTGGATGAAATCTACACAAACTATTGAATGGCCTATTGCCTACATTACAACAGACTACATTTCAAATCTATTACATTAAACGCTACTAACAGAACAAAAATATCTGCAGCATTTTTAAAAAAAATAATCGCTCATTCAACAAATTTGAGTTTTTGGAATAGTAAAAAAAATGTATATTAATGTAGGGTTGAAACAAAGGAATTCTTCAACTTCAAAGTGCTGCTTAATGTTGCCAAAGAAAGATGTCAAACGAGAAATCAATATCATCCCACGCCAACAGGATAATAACTGAATTTCTCATGTATCCATTCCCAGATGTGGGGCAGATTAAAGTTGACCGCCTGAGTGACACAGGCACACTTAGAGACACCTTTACTCTATTTAATAGGAAAGACATTTAAACAAATTAAGTTTCAGGTATTGAATGTCAAACAAAGGAATAATGATCTGTAAATACGCAGTGGCGTAACATGGGGTGGGGGTGGGGTGAGGGTGGGGAGGGGATAAAGCCAGAAGTCTGGTTGCCAAGATTTTAGTCTAAAACGAGATAAAATAAACGAGAAAATAAATACATTTAAATCAAATCAAATCAATCATTGTTTCAAAAGTAACAAAAAATCGTTACTGTATCAGGATACAATACATGTACTTTAGGTTATTGGGGAGGTGGAGATGCCCAATACTGACTTGGTGGAAGACGTTCACAGTTAAGGAGGCGCAGTATTTACTCCTGGCGATATAACCCTATCCACACCAATGATGGTCGCTACCCCATTGATGGTCGCTACACCATTGATGGTCGCTACACCATTGATGGTCGCTACACCATTGATGGTCGCTACACCAATGATGGTCGCTACCCCATTGATGGTCGCTACACCATTGATGGTCGCTACCCCATTGATGGTCGCTACACCATTGATGGTCGCTACACCATTGATGGTCGCTACCCCATTGATGGTCGCTACCCCATTGATGGTCGCTACCCCATTGATGGTCGCTACACCATTGATGGTCGCTACACCATTGATGGTCGCTACCCCATTGATGGTCGCTACACCATTGATGGTCGCTACCCCATTGATGGTCGCTACACCATTGATGGTCGCTACACCATTGATGGTCGCTACCCCATTGATGGTCGCTACACCATTGATGGTCGCTACACCATTGATGGTCGCTACACCATTGATGGTCCAATTGTTAAAAATGATATTTATAATTATAGCAAAATGATACCTTTTTTATTTAAAAAAAAAAAGGAAGTTTCCAGAACATAACGTGCGAGCTGTTAAGCGTATACTAAATCCATATATCTATATGAATGTATATCCATATCTATACCCATACTATATCATGTAATCGTTGATTTTTATCTGTCCCACTCGAGCAGTTTTAGATTAGACGCTCCGTACTGTGATGGCGTGGGCTACATTGATATCTTGGAGCTCATCTGAGTTGAAGTTTAAGATGATCTCCGTCTTGCCTTCCTTGGTTGGCGATATGGGCACAGTGTTAGTGAAGGTACTGTTGGGATTCACATTGCTGGGGAAAAGACAGCATACACCATGGAAAATCATGTGTTTAAAAAATGAGATTTTTAACCTCTCGGGTTTAAAGAAATACGTCAATTACAAGCAGGCAACTCTTGACCACCATTACAATAAGCCTACTTATGAACACCGTGGCAAGTAGCCTACTTATGGCCATGACAAGCAGCCTACTTATGACCATTACAAACAGCCTACTAATGAACACCATGTCAAGCAGCCTACTTATGAACACCATGACAAGCAGCCTACTTATAACCACCATGACAAAAAGCCTACTTATGACAACCATGACAAGCAGCCTACTTAAGACCATTACAAACAGCCTACTAATGACCACCATGACAAAAAGCCTACTTAGGACAACCATGACAAGCATCCTACTTATGACCATTACAAACAACCTACTAATGACCACCATGGCAAGCAGCCTACTTATGACCATTACAAACAGCCTACTAATGACCACCATGACAAAAAGCCTACTTATGACAACCATGACAAGCAGCCTACTAATGACCACCATGACAAGCAGCCTACTAATGACCACCATGACAAAAAGCCTACTAATGACCACCATGACAAAAAGTCTACTAATGACCACCATGACAAAAAGCCTACTTATGACAACCATGACAAAAAGCCTGCTAATGACCACCATGACAAAAAGCCTACTAATGACAACCATGACAAAAAGCCTACTAATGACCACCATGACAAAAAGCCTACTTATGACAACCATCACAAAAAGCCTACTTATGACAACCATGACAAAAAGCCTACTTATGACAACCATGACAAAAAGCCTACTAATGACCACCATGACAAGCAGCCTACCTTTGTCGAAACTTGAGTGAATGTGCCAGGCCGTCCACTATAATGAAGCAGTTGGTCAGTGATGTGTTGAGTGGGTTGATGAAGGAAACTTCAACTTTGATCTCTTCACCGACTTTGGCTTCTTTTGGAGACTGGAAGGAGATGCGATATCAAGTTAATCTTAAGCTCACCTTTTATTTTTTTGTGGGGGGGGGGGGGGGGGGAATCAAACTCAATCACTCGGCGGGCCGAAACTAAAATCACACGTAATGTTGTGGGCCGAACGGGATAAACATTCAATAAGTGGAAAAAAATATCTTTTTTAAAAAATATTTATATAAATAAAAAGAAAAAAAAAGTTTTAATAGCTAAAATTCATTGGCATAACCCTTTTTTTGTTCTTATGCCAATTTGTCAGAGCTGGATGTTTGGCAAATTTTCTTGGCAACAAAGACAAGTAAGTTCGTTTATGTTAGGAGTAGCGTTATGTGTCATCGAGATTCTTATGATGGATTACAGTCAGTGGCGTAGCGAGGGTGTTTGGCGCCCGGGTACAAGATTCGCGCCCGGGGACAAGATCCATTTTAAAGCGCCCCTTTTTCTTTTTTTCAACTCTTAAACCCATTATTTTCATCAATAAAATAATATCAAAGCACATTTTGGCGCCCCTAACTAGCTGGCGCCCGGGGACATCTGCCCCCCCCTGCCACCACCACGCTACGCCTCTGATTACAATGAGACAGCTCCTATCTGATGCTTTTTTTTTTAAAATCTTCATGACAGAAAACAGCCGCTGACACATAGACGTGCTACCCAACATGCTCAAGGTTCGAGCCGCGTGTGGACGAAGCTGGGGCATCTCTCGAGGAATGAAACGAGTGAACTGTGCAGGCCCAACTGTGTCGTACTTTGCCTTTAGTGTCCCATTACACTGCATCTCTATAAGCTCCACCTGCAAATTTACAGGTGCAGTTTCCACGTCTATGACAAATGGATTACGAAACAGCTCAAAATTACATTTCAGTGCTTGAAAGTCACTAAGGCGCCGTTCAAACTCGGCGCGAAGTAAGCTAAGTTTTTCAGGTAAAGTGTGCATTACGAAACACCATAGCGTTGACTTGGATACAATAGTACGCCTGATGTAATTGTTCGGCGGGCCGGATGTGGCACATGGGCCTTGAGTTTGACACATGTAGTCTAGTGCATGACCTTTCAAACTGAACATAACCATATTCTATGTCCCGCTACCCAATTCCCCAGGACATTCTATGTCCAACTACCCATTCTCCAACAGATTATATGTCCCACTAACCATTCCACAGCATATTCTATGTCCCACTACCCGTCTTCCGGAAGAGTCACAAGTTACACACACGACTACAGGTATATATATATATATATATATCTATAAATTTAAAAAATACAATTATTTGTTTAGAATCACACTCTACATCTTTCCTCTCCATCCACATTTTTTTTTTTTTTTGTAGCCACTCTCGCCGTCAGACATGGGAAATGTATTTCTAGTGAAAATGTATTGATCGACATTACAAAGATGGTGGATGTAGCTCGTTTTTATATATATATATATATATCTATAAATTTAAAAAATACAATTATTTGTTTAGAATCACACTCTACATCTTTCCTCTCCATCCACATTTTTTTTTTTTTTTTGTAGCCACTCTCGCCGTCAGACATGGGAAATGTATTTCTAGTGAAAATGTATTGATCGACATTACAAAGATGGTGGATGTAGCTCGTTTCCATAACAAAAAGGAGTTTTAAATGCATCCATGTCTGTCTCAAATTCCAGTTTTTAATAGCATACTTTTATACCAAGTGACAAATCCATTCACCGTGTCGCTGTCTCACTGTCTCACTGTCTTACTGTCTCACTGTCTCACTGGTCTCACTGTCTCACTGGTCTCACTGTCTCACTGGTCTCACTGTCTCCCTTGTCTCTCGCCACCAAATAATTTGTCACGCCACCTAAAGGGGGAAATAAGGTTAAGCCCCGTTACCTGGATTTGCAGATGAGGTTTACGAAGTCGGTAGTCTCCCTTTTTGATGAAGTGCTGGTTTGTCTCTTGGACCAAGGCCCAGACAGAAACATCCAACATGCAGAAGTCTTTCAGTTTTTTGAAATACTCCTCTTGTGTAACGGTGATCACCTGGGATACTTCTACACACAAAAATAATTCAATGTAACATATTAGCAAACTTACAGAATTTTCAAATAGCTAAATCCCAGCAGCTTATAAGCTAAAAAACTTGCTCAATTTCTCAGTCCGTAATGGCCACTAAGAATAATTACCAGAAGAGAACTTTTATTTGTTTATTAAATGGTCCTCGCGCATTTTTTCTGAGAGCTTTAAAAAAAAGAAATTAATTAAACTTAAGGACATAAATAATGGACTATAATTCCATTTAAATTGTGTGTACCCTCTAAACAATGCTTTAGTGGCGAGGCATTGGGAGACTTATTTCTATTATCTTCTACATCCGGTATATTTATTTGTGTTATCTTACATGAGCAGTTGAGTGGATTTCCTTACACAGCTTGTATTTAATGCAAACAAGCCCCCAGTCGCCCCCCCCGGCTAACTGCCCAAACTACTCATTGGAGCTTTAAATAATTAAATAACGTTTTTTTTGAGAGCTAAAAACTACGCTGAAACCACCCGGGGGTAAACAGGTCTGCGATAGTAATGTCACAACAATAAAATGAAAAGCTACGCACATCCATTGTAACACACGCCCATTGTAACACACACCCATTGTAACACATACCCATTGTAACACACACCAATTGTAACACTCACCCATTGTAACATACACCCATTGTAACACACACCCATTGTAATACACACCCATTGTAACACACGCCCATTGTAACACACACCCATTGTAACACACAACCACTGTAAAACACACCCATTGTAACACACGCCCATTGTAACACACAGCCATTGCAACACCCACCCATTGTAACACACACCCATTGTAACACAAACCCATTGTAACATTCACCCATTGTAACACAAACCCATTGTAACATTCACCCATTGTAACACACACCCATTGTAACACACACCCATAGAAACACACATCCATTCATTTCTGAGGATTTTTTCGGTAGATTTCGTTGATTTTTTTTTACAAGTTATTATAGGTCAGTGTTTTTCACACGAAACAGTTCCAACAGACTAACTATACGCCACTAAGAGCCATTACAAGAAGTCGCGGTCACATGACATGCTAAACATATCCGCTCAAGTGTATATTTATTTATACTAAGAGTAGCATGGACTTCATTTCTTACCTTGTTTAGGTTTGATGACAAGGTTGTTAAAAGGGCTTCTCTTGACCTCGTCGGCAACCACCCCTGTGTAGTACATGGAGTGGACATCCACCTGACCACTCACTGTCCTGTCCTTGTCCCCGTTGTTCTTCATTGTGAGTGACAGAACAAAGTTGTCTCCAACAAATGTATGTTCCTGGTCTTGATTTACTTTGAATTCGATGTCCTGTGATGGTGGACATTGGTCAATCAATGTTTTATTGGGTCAGCACTATTTTACAATTAAAGTTGCATATCTCTCTCCATTTATATGCCTTTCTCTCTCTGTCTCTCTCTCTCTCTCTCTCTCTCTCTCTCTCTCTCTCTCTCTCACTCTCTCTCTCTCTCTCTTTCTCTCTCTCTCTCACTCTCTCTCTCTCACTCTCTCTCAATCCCCGATACACCCGCTTACACATACCATCCCCTCCTTGAGTATACTTTTCCCGTATTGTTTTGACATTAACAGAGTACACACTCAGAGAAGTTCTTACATTGCTCGTAGCCTTGTATAAGTTGGAGATTTCTCGTTTAGATCCACTGCTGTAGGCATTTCTCACAACCACTCTCTCTGCCTGGGAACCTGGAGATATAAACAAAGGGACAGTGCGTCTCCTATGTCCTATATGTCTTACATAATAATTGTAAAAAACAAAATTTAGGATCTATTTGTTATTTGTTCGCGTGCTTAAATGGCCCAGAACTACATCACTGTCTTATTCAGGTTAAATTTTCTTAAAACAACCTCATAATTTTTTCCCTTTCTAAGATTTAGGGGTCGTCTATAAAGTGCGTCACGTTATGTTTGGACAATTTTTTACCCCATCCCATCATCCCATTCTGTCACAGATTTCAGACCCCCCCCCCCCCCCCCCNGTGACGTCCTCTTTTTTTGGTATACATCCATCACAAAAGAATGTTTGACGTCACCATCAGTTTCATGTTTTATATCTATGATACAAAAATGTGTGACGTCTTACAAGATATACACACAACCCCCCCCCCTCCCCCCCTTCCACACACACTTTTTGTCCCAAATTGTCACACTTTCTTAGGACCAACGAAACAAAATATCTAGTTATATAGGCGAAACTGGGAGAAGATTGCTAGATAGGTTCAAAGAACATCTTCGGGATATTGAACATGGTAAACTTTCCCCAGTCTCTTCACATTTCAACAGAGAGGAACATAACAGTGACTCAGATGTATCCATCACGGTACCGATTTCCTGTACAAAAAAAATTATGATCCTGTACAAACACACCAGAGAGAGTTAAAATGGAAAACAAATTTATTGAGCTTTTCGGCACCATATCTCCATTTGATATTACTCAAATACTCTCTGACTAATTTTTCTCAATTTTCTTTTGTTTCTTCATATTTTCCTTATATATATATATATAATAGATAAGAATGAGCTATGCTGACCGTTACTCCATAGAACCGAAAAGACTTAAATACGTTCGGATTCTTAAAAACAATCACATTTGTTGTTGTTTTTTTCCACGGAAATGGAATCAATTTAAATGCGCAAAAACAACATAAATACGTTTTTATTTCAGCAAAAGTTTAAGTATTACAAATAAATTAAAAGTAACAACTAAGGAACTATTTACAGCATTTTATCCGAATATAAATGTTATGAAAAAAAAATTAATTAAAAAATTATGATCTAAGATTTACACCGTAATCACATTTATCGGGGAAAACCCATAACATCCGTTTTTTTAGTGCGTTTTTAGTGAGTTGTTAATATTGCGAAATGAAATTAAAATTAATTTGTTCTAAATAAACACGCAAAGGACATCTTAGCGCGAATCCTAAATTTTAGCCAAAACTCTAAAGTTTCTTTAATTTAATTTAATAACCGTGCTTTAGAAAACTGATAATGCATTTTCCCTTTTTAAAAATAACATTTATAAATATAATTTGATTGCTTTTTAAATTGTTAATAACACACACATACATTTTGGCTTTGAATTTTTAACATTTAATAAATTTTTACTTTTTTAAATTCCAAAAATATTCTTTAGAACGTAATAAAAACTTAACTTTTAAATATACTTCTCATAAGGAAAGTCAATCAGTGCAGTGAAATCCCATAGCCAAATAGCATTCACTAATGCACTTATAACTCATCCAAATAATAACAAACCACATGAAGTGCAAAATATATCAGCTTGGGTATGGAAGGGGCTACAATCCGGTAGAATTTTTTTTTTTTTTTTTTAGAATGGGGGGGGGGGGGGGGGTGTGTTCATTTTGCACCTGGCAGCACAAGTTACGTCTTAAAATAAAGGAATGAATTTGATAAATAATTAACTTTCTTGGATACATACACATCGGAGGTAGGTAATAGGATTCCTACATTTTTACATGGTTTATAATTTGTGAAAAAAAGAGATTTTACATTCACTTTTTACAAATAATCATATGTTTACCAATTAAGAAAATCAATGGCGTTAACAAAATGTGGGTACATTTATATAAGTATACCCATAAATACCAAAACCCAATAATTTTACACACTTGAAAATTTAATTTTTAAAAATGGAGATGGGCTAATATTTCTTTTTTTTTTAAATGAAAATATATTTTTGTTTTTACTTTGCGAAAAGTAAAGTGGATATGTATTTTGATGAGATTAACAATTTTAAAAACAGACACACAAGTCTGTTATAGACGTGAAAAACGGTTGCGAGATTCTTCTTTAGACAAAATAAATCTTTGTTTTACGATTTTGTGATAAGGTATAGTATAATTTTTAAAAAAACAAGGCGAAAGTGTGTTTAAATTTTTGATGAAGATATCAATATATCGAATTCCTTTAATATAAAATATCATATATAGAGCTTTTGTTGTAAATTAAAGATTATGTTTTTTGACAATTTTTCGAGGAAAAAAATAATTCAAGGGCACGAAAAGGGTAAAAGCTAAAGTATTTCTCTAGCATAAAAATCGTCCTTCGATTAACTTCTTTGGTGACAAAAGTGATATAATTATATGATAAATGATAATTTAGATTGGGTAATTTAAGGTCATGTTTGCAGGAACAAAAAATAGTTATGGGGCGTGAAATGGAGTAGGGTAGGCGTATAATATATAGCAGATAAATACTTCTCAAAACTTAACCATGTTAGAAACGTAAATATCATTACATAGATACTTCTTTTTAAAGTTAGGAATTGTGATGAGTTTTTGCAATAACAATTAGAAATTATCGCAAAGGACCTGCCATTATTATCCCGATAACATCCGGTCATTTATTCTAGTTCCTTACATTTTATGTATCCCTACATATTTTGTTCCACTAAGATTCTGTACCTTTTTTTCCACAGTACCAATATTTATATTGTTTCACTTCCTGTAAACCTACTTCCGGAAGCAACAAAGGGGAATCTGTAAAGTTATTTTTACTGTGCTCTGTTTCTTGTCGCACTTCTACTTGTCCTGTTCGCTGAAGAAGGCTCTAAGTCGAAACGTTCACATCTTATGGTCATGTCTTTTGATTCAAGCACTACAACATAACCTGTATTACCATTTCTATAACATTAAGCACGTCTATTTGTTTCTTAACACTTCTACTGTTTGAAACATCAAATGGTCTTCATGGTGTGCAAAAAAAATATATTTTTGACCCAGAGTCTGATTAGCTTTCACTCATGTCTCTGAGTCTGATTAGCTTTATCCACGACTCTGAGTCTGTTTAGCTTTTATCCACGACTCTGAGTCTGATTAGCTTTTATCCACGACTCTGAGTCTGATTAGCTTTTATCCACGACTCTGAGTCTGATTAGATTTTTTATCAATGATTCTGAGTCTGACTAGATTTTTTATTCATGATTCTGAGTCTGACTAGATTTTTTATCCATGATTCTGAGTCTGACTAGATTTTGTATCCATAATTCTGAGTCTGACTAGATTTTTTATCCATGATTCTGAGTCTGACTAGATTTTTTATCCATGATTCTGAGTCTGACTAGTTTTTTAAATATTTTTTTGTAACCCATGACTCGTGTTCAATGTCGACATTCAAAATAACTTTGACACTTTTTTGGGGAAATATTTCTAATTTTGATAATGGCCAAAAAATATTCTGACATAAATAACCACCGCCCTTTTAGTTAGTCCCAGCGCCCCTCATTCTACTGAGCATGTTACCGCCCACCTTGGCTATACCACCGCCCCTGGGCCATCCACTTTGAGAACTGGTGGTTTACAGATGTTCTTAGCTCTCTCTCTCTCTCTCTCTCTCTCTCTCTCTCTCTTTCTCTCTCTCTCTCTCTATCTCTCTCTCTCTCTCTTTCTCTCTCTCTTTCTCTCTCTCTCTATCTGTATATGTATATATATAGCTATATATGCGCTACTTTACATGATGTTGGAAATCGTTGTGTACCTTCTTTTGGCTTGTAGTGGTCAGAAAGATCCTCCCTCTCGTTGGAGTCAACGGCCTTTGTGCTGATGTGTTTGCCGATTCTGAGAAAACATTCAGTCAGTAATACATTCAAGGGTCGTCCCGGAGTAATCGGCCCCAACTAAGAAAATACTGCATGAAATTAAAATGATGTCATTGACAAAGTTTGAAAAATTATTCGTATTTAAAGTACAAACACGAAAGTTTTCAGCCACACGTGGCACAACTATGGCTCAGACTTCGGCAGCTTCTTCATTAAGAAAAATTTGCGCTGATGGCGTTAAACTGGAAATGAACAGTGATGAAAATGAACAGTGATGAAAATGAACAGTGATGAAAAATGAACAGTGATATTAACTGCGTTTGGTTGGCTGAATTCCTTTAGTTGACTATTGCCGACTTACGCATTGCAATTGAGGTCAACACACTGCAATTTCCCGACATTGTCTTGCGACCAGTAGACTTTGTCGGCGTTGACCTCAGCGAATATGAAAGGTCCATCGTAAGGAAGCTCGATCCGACCCTCTCTGATGGCACGAACAGATGCCGGGCCACAGCAGTAGACACCTGCGGATTAGATGTACAGATAACACTAGTTCCTATAGTATAAATTAAAGGTAACCCTAGTTTCTATAGTATAAATTAAAGGTAATACTATTTCCTATTAGTTTAAGTTGATACCATTTTTAAAATATTATACTATTAAATAAAGATCTCTAAATACCATCTGAGGTCTCTTGTGGTGTGGCATCAAACGCCTGCCATCCACCATAACCAGCCGGCAGGTCTGGCCTGGACAGCCATGCCTCATTCCAGACGTGGAAGTTCCTGTAGAAGAGAATCATCCTTCTATCATTACTCTACCACAGTCGTAGGCCTACTGTAAACAACAATTTTATAAATACTCCCATAACATCGGAGTAGAGAAAGCAAGTCTTAAAGCATGGCTCCATGGATCATAGGGCCCCTTAACCGTGCTGACAAAATCAAGATCAAGAGTTACCTTTAACGTCTGTTACAGCGATATTGAGTTTTGTCCCTGCTTTTATTAACAAAATACGCCTCATTCCCTTCCTCCCATCTCACAAGTCCCATCCTACCATCTCACACGTCCCATCCTACCATCTCACAAGTCCCATCCTACCATCTCACAAGTCCCATCCTACCATCTCACAAGTCCCATCCTACCATCTCACAAGTCCCATCCTACCATCTCACAAGTCCCATCCTACCATCTCACAAGTCCCATCCTACCATCTCACAAGTCCCATCCTACCATCTCACAAGTCCCATCCTACCATCTCACAAGTCCCATCCTACCATCTCACAAGTCCCATCCTACCATCTCACAAGTCCCATCCTACCATCTCACAAGTCCCATCCTACCATCTCACAAGTCCCATCCTACCATCTCACAAGTCCCATCCTACCATCTCACAAGTCCAATCCTACCATCTCACAAGTCCCATCCTACCATCTCACAAGTCCCATCCTACCATCTCACAAGTCCCATCCTACCATCTCACAAGTCCCATCCTACCATCTCACAAGTCCCATCCTCCCACTTCACAAGTCCAATCCTCCCACTTCACAAGTCCAATCCTCACATCTCACTTCCATTCTGCCAAAACGATTTTTGTTTTTAAATCTGTTATTTAACACAAGGTGAATTTGATTTTTTTCTGTTTTTTATGGGTTTTTTGGTGTTGTTGGCGTGGTTGGACCTCTTTGTTACGAGACGTGTATTTGGATGGTATACCCATACATGCGGTGTCAGCAGCCAGTAAAATACGGTATACCCAAACATGCAGTGTCAGTAGCCAGTAAAATATGGTATACCCATACATGCCGTGCCAGTAGCCAGTAAAATATGGTATACCCATACATGCCGTGCCAGTAGCCAGTAAAATATTGTATACCCATACATGCAGTGTCAGTAGCCAGTAAAATGCTCTTGAGCTTTAAAAAGGGAGAGAAAAGGGAATGTTTCTGATAATAATTTTGTTTTAATAAGTTGTCGCCAGTTTGAATGGAAACCTGCTCGTAATACAGAAGAGATGTGTCTACTTAGCAACAAAATGGCATGGAAGGAGTTCAAGGATTTGGGGGAATCACCAAGTTCTAAGTAAGGATGTTAAACGAGAATTCGCTCATCGGGTTTCCCCCATTACCAGACAGAGTCGCAGTCAGCCTTCCAAGTGTTCATCACCTTGAAGTAGTCGACACTCACTGAACCGTCAGAATCATGGGCTGATTCAAAATTGGTCACACATCTGGCCGGGATGCCCAGTGTCCGACAAACTAAAGGAGGACACCAAATAATAATTTAGAAAATACAAGTTTCTTAAAATATACATTTTTGTCGGAAAGTAATTATTATGATCAATAGATAAAACACGTGGCTTCTAAAAAAAAAACAACGCACATTTCTTCACTGTTCATTATTCCTCTAGTACGTGCAATGAGTAAGGAGGACTAGTTTCAAGCGTAGATATACGTGACATAACTTTGTGGTTGTGCTGGTAAGTAGTTCCACTCTCACATATGTGTTTAGTATTCCACTCTTTCAACGGTGGCAAATTACCGAAAATAAACCATTTCAACTAGGCCTACAGAAGGCATAAACCACTAACGTGTTGTGGACAGTCCAGAGAAGACCCAACATTGGCCATATTTCACCGGACTTTTGGTTTTCCAATACTTCTCTAGAATGGCTGATGAGCCGGTCCAGGACAGGGGGGACCGTCCGCCCGCGTAGTTACTTGACCAGTTTCCTGCCAGCACGCCGTTATCATCTGAAGAATTCACCTGTATGCACAGGATATAATCATGCTATAGATGTATGATATGCACATAAAAGTACACAAGGTTCACTTATATGCACATTGCATACACATGAAATAATCATGATATAGATTTATAATATGCACATAGAATACCCAAGTTTTATAAATATGCACATTGCATACACATGATATAATCATGATATGGATGTATGATATGCAATCTAAATACCCAAGTTTTACTTATATACACATTGCATATACATGCTATAGACGCGCATGAAATAATAACTGCCGTAGAACTCCCCCCCCCCCGCACACACAGTACAATACAAGACATTACAATCTATGTCTGTCTATAGCAGTGGTCGACAAACTCATCGGTCAAAAGAGCCAAACATCAGCAGGGGGACGATTTAAAATTATGTTTAGAGCCAAATTTCTTTTCAAGAACCTGTCGAGAACCATGCTTTACGGAGTCAAAACCGAGTTGTGGCTGACCGGCCGAGCCACACTCAGGTCGCTAAAGAACCACATGCGGCTCACTTGCCCCGATTTGCCGACCACTGGTCTATAGTATTGTCCACACCGTGACATGATAATATGCAAAAATGATCACTAGTACATAAGGGGGCCGTCCGTAAAATAAGTTAATTCCCAGGGGCGGGGGGTGGGGGAGGTGGTTAGATATATTGTTACGTCACAATTTTTATAATTATCATACACATAAATCCTGAAATTGTTAAGTCTTAAAATTACAATCAAAGTAACTATGGATCAATAGAATTTTTGTATAGCTGATTTGAAAGCGACCCCCCCCCCCATATTTTTTTTTCTTTTAATATGGCCAGTTTATTAAAAAGTTTGATTTCTTACCAGTGCAGACAGTTTCCTGACGACCAGAACGGGATTTCCCCGAACTGACCAGTTGAGCTCACATATGTCCAGTAGATACATGGCGCAGTCCAGCACGCACGATTCGAACTGGAACATTACAGTATATGGATGAATATTGATGCTTAAGGAAAGAATTCATTATTTTATTTATGTTTACAATGACTGGATATGATTTAATCAATTTAATTTTGCGAGTGAAATTTGTTTGTAAATAACTGATTCATAATCAAAACCAAAGTGTCATTTCCATTCGTACTCCAGGAATGGGGCCAATTTTTAAAATTAGAAACACAAATTGTTATTACTACCAATCAGAATTCAGCATTGTAAGAGACCAGCCAATGTACCCGGATGTTCTCAGGCTTGTATCGGGCAAAATCGCTAAACGCGTTCTAAGCGAACACAATGTCAACACTTCCTTAAAGAAACCATTACAATTACAACCGTTACAATTACAATGTTCTCCAGTGACTGGCCAGATTTATAACAACTCCTGGCAACATTGTTTTTTGGGGGCCCGTCCCATTTTGGTTAATAATCCTGAAACATGAGTGCCTGCCATTGTACTGAGTGCCTGCCATTGTATCGAGTGCCTGCCATTGTACTGAGTGCCTGCCATTGTACCGAGTGCCTGCCATTGTACCGAGTGCCTGCCATTGTACCGAGTGCCTGCCATTGTACCGAGTGCCTGCCATTGTACCGAGTGCCTGCCATTGTACTGAGTGCCTGCCATTGTACTGAGTCCCTGCCATTGTACTGAGTCCCTGCCATTGTACTGAGTGCTTGCCATTGTACTGAGTGCCTGCCATTGTACTGAGTGCTTGCCATTGTACCGAGTGCCTGCCATTGTATTGAGTGCCGGCAATTTACGCTTGCATTGCAGGTTGTCTGACCAGGTGTCCAAACCCATTAATTTGTTTAAGAACCATACTTAATATACTGGCTGAGTGGGAGACGGCGCCAGCCATTTGGCTACATTCCATGTTCCGAGTGTGATCCATTCTTGTATTTCCCGCAGGACGTGGGTAACAAATGACGCCTTTGAGATAGTGTTATCCTTATACTATGCACCCACCCACACAGTGACGTAGTTTCGCTAAATTATCAACTTACGATTCATCCACACACACAGCTGCTAACTAAAGTTGGTAATACAAATTAATAAAATACAACCCATGACTGTAAGCCCCTAGGTACCAAAAAGAAACATTTATGCACGCCCCTGAACTAGGTGATACTTCTAATGTGCTATTTTTATTTAAAATCCGTGCACTAAACAAAGACGCACCGTTCTGAACAAAGGCGCACCGTTCTGCACCGTGCTGAATAAAGGCTTAATTAAAATTCTTTCTCCAAAAATAACCTCAAACCATTCAATTGGAAAATAATTATTATTTCTTTTCTCCCTACTCTTTACGATTTTTACATCTTTTGTGATAAGGGTTTTGTGGCCAAACATTCCAATAACTATAACCATCTGTATGTCAGGAGGAACGACCATGTCAAATTCGTGTGCGATGCATTGTTTGGTTTCCTTGTGATTGATCGACCCAGCTACAAACGAACGTCGTCTCGCTGAGCTCTATAGAATTAGAATTGATTATTTTAAAAACAAGGGTCTAATAAGTTACTTGCTTTTAGATGCGTTCTGTCATTGTATTACCTGGCCAAAGTTCCATGGCTTGAATGATATGCTGCGATCACTGCCACTGTAGATCCCTCCCTTTTCATTGAGAACGTATTCACCAAGAAGTCTCTCATTGTCCAAATAGACATCATCATCTGGTAGAATGTGTCAATGTGATTTACAGTAGAACAGAGCGGTTCAGGTAGAATGTGTCAATGTGATTTACAGTAGAACAGAGCGGTTCAGGTAGAATGTGTCTAAGGCCTAAGGCTTAAGGCCTGATGTTTTGAGTGAAGGTTTCGGGTCAAATGTCTTGGCTGATGTCTTACGGGCTGATGTCTTGAGTGATGTCTTACGGGCTTATGTCTAGAGTGACTGCTTACGGTTTGATGTCTAGAGTGATGTCATACGGTCTGATGTCTTAAATTAAGCTTTAGGCCGAGTGGCACTTTTAAGACGAGTCGGTGACCTCGCAATGTAGACAGGAATTCTTTTGATGGAAAACCTCACTTTGGTGTGTGGGAGCCCTTACGTGTGCATGAATTTGTGTGGTGTGTGGGAGCCCTTACGTGTGCATGAGTTTGTGTGGTGTGTGGGAGCCCTTACGTGTGCATGAGTTTGTGTGGTGTGTGGGAGCCCTTACGTGTGCATGAGTTTGTGTGGTGTGTGGGAGCCCTTACGTGTGCATGAGTTTGTGTGGTGTGTGGGAGCCCTTACGTGTGCATGAGTTTGTGTGGTGTGTGGGAGCCCTTACGTGTGCATGAGTTTGTGTGGTGTGTGGGAGCCCTTACGTGTGCATGAGTTTGTGTGGTGTGTGGGAGCCCTTACGTGTGCATGAGTTTGTGTGGTGTGTGGGAGCCCTTACGTGTGCATGAGTTTGTGTGGTGTGTGGGAGCCCTTACGTGTGCATGAGTTTGTGTGGTGTGTGGGAGCCCTTACGTGTGCATGAGTTTGTGTGGTGTGTGGGAGCCCTTACGTGTGCATGAGTTTGTGTGGTGTGTGGGAGCCCTTACGTGTGCATGAGTTTGTGTGGTGTGTGGGAGCCCTTACGTGTGCATGAGTTTGTGTGGTGTGTGGGAGCCCTTACGTGTGCATGAGTTTGTGTGGTGTGTGGGAGCCCTTACGTGTGCATGAGTTTGTGTGGTGTGTGGGAGCCCTTACGTGTGCATGAGTTTGTGTGGTGTGTGGGAGCCCTTACGTGTGCATGAGTTTGTGTGGTGTGTGGGAGCCCTTACGTGTGCATGAGTTTGTGTGGTGTGTGGGAGCCCTTACGTGTGCATGAGTTTGTGTGGTGTGTGGGAGCCCTTACGTGTGCATGAGTTTGTGTGGTGTGTGGGAGCCCTTACGTGTGCATGAGTTTGTGTGGTGTGTGGGAGCCCTTATGTGTGCATGAGTTTGTGTGGTGTGTGGGAGCCCTTACGTGTGCATGAGTTTGTGTGGTGTGTGGGAGCCCTTATGTGTGCATGAGTTTGTGTGGTGTGTGGGAGCCCTTACGTGTGCATGAGTTTGTGTGGTGTTCGGGAGCCCTTATGTGTGCAAGAGTTTGTGTGGTGTGCGGTAGCCCTTACGTGTGCATGAGTTTGTGTGGTGTGTGATACATAAATGATGAGATTTTGAATTACAACAATGTCTTTAAAGGGATCTAGACCACATTAAACTCAACCATTGATTGACGTCACACACAGCGAGCAGCAGTAGCATAAAACAATGACATATATTTAGGCATACACAATGGAACATGCTCAAATACAGTCTCTCGGCTCCAATACATGAACTAAAGGCGTATCTGTGGGGGTTTTTTTTGGGTGGGGGGGGGTTGGGGGGGGAAGCAGGAACGATTACATTGACATCATTTTAATATCCAAAGACCTTTTTGTTCGAACTCCCGCCAAAATTTTTACCCTAAATACGCCTTTGTTAAATAGATATAAAATGTATGGGCAGTGGCGGCAAACCTTTACACCAGGGGTTGAACAGGATGTAGATGGCGTCTTTGTGTTGATATCTGTAGATGTTCACAGACGTATTCTCTTTCTTGACCACGTCCAGCTTCAAGGTCCACTTCCCCACCAGACATGTCGGTGGCGTGAACACGGTGATGGTCAGTGAGTTGCCCTGGGATCACCACAAACCGAACGTTAAATATTTATAGTAATGGCTTACGGGCGTAGGAAGAGGGGGGTGGGGGGTTAACCCCGTGGGACATTTATTTTGGGATTGCATTGTCACTCCACTTTATATAGTTTATATGGCGTGATTTTATGTGAATCTCGTATGGGATGTGATTTACATAGTTTCTTATAGTTAGGTTTTTATATGTATTTTTTAAGCATTGTAGTTTTTATTAAGACATGTCGGAGAAATCAAGGTCGGCCCCAGGCGCCTCAAAGTGTGCTGTCCAGCGCAGCCTTCCCCCCCCCCGCCCACTTTATTACCTGCGACTATGGATGAATCTCAGAACAATAGATCTACCTCTTGGTTTGCTCAGAACAATAGATCTACCTCTTGGTTTGCTCAGAACAATAGATCTACCTCTTGGTTTGCTCAGAACAATAGATCTACCTCTTGGTTTGCTCAGAACAATAGATCTACCTCTTGGTTTGCTCAGAACAATAGATCTACCTCTTGGTTTGCTCAGAACAATAGATCTACCTCTTGGTTTGCTCAGAACAATAGATCTACGTCTTGGTTTGCTCAGAACAATAGATCTACCTCTTGGTTTGCTCAGAACAATAGATCTACCTCTTGGTTTGCTCAGAACAATAGATCTACCTCTTGGTTTGCTCAGAACAATAGATCTACCTCTTGGTTTGTACCAATTCTCAATTCATCATGCCATAACATGAGCGTATATTTTTTTAAGGAATTTCCTCTCCCGTTGTACTGAAGAGATTTCCAGCTTCTTTTGGCTAGGGACCAAGCCTGACTGTAAATTACAGGGACCTAGTCTGACTTGTGTAAATTACAGGGACCTGGTCTGACTTGTGTAAATTACAGGGACCTAGTCTGACTTGTGTAAATTACAGGGACCTAGTCTGACTTGTGTAAATTACAGGGACCTAGTCTGACTTGTGTACATTACAACTGGTGTTATAATAGTTGTGTACATGATTTATTTGTTTTCATTGAGACGTTTGTACTTCCTAGCACCTTTTGTAGGTGACTAAAACATCAAGCTCATCAATATTGAAGTTGACAAAAACACCCACACACTTTAGTGACTGGCTTTTTTATCACCTTTTGTGACTTTTTTCTTTTAAATCACCCTTTGTGACTGTATTTTTTTAAATCACCTTTTGTGACTGTATTTTTGCGCCCCATTCTTTCGGCTTATCGTCATCTGACAGGATGAAGTCAACACTTGTTCCTTTGTTGGCTGCAGGACTGTCGCCTGTTAAAAAAAAAAATGGGAACTTTTTAACGACAAAAAAAACAAATTGACCAACAGAAGCACAAGTATCAACTCTCTGTAGAATTCAAATAAAAATTACTTTTCAAGCCGCAACTTTAAAAAAAGTCCATATAATTTTAATAGATTTTAATAGTCCTCAGCTATGGATTGCTCTAGTCCAGTGCTTCTCAACCTTTCTAGTGCCGCGACCCCTTAATATAGTTTTTTTGTGTCGTGGCGACCCCCCAGCGACACAATTATTTTCGTTGCTACTTCATAGCTGTAAGGATATATGTTTTCAGATGGTCTTAAGCGACCCCTGGAAAAGGGTCCCGCGACCCCTGGAAAAGGGTCCCGCGACCCCCAAAGGGGTCTCTACCCACAGGTTGAGAACCGCTGCTCTACTCACTAGACATATCAACAGTGGCATAGTTAGGATTGGTTGAGTTTTTAAACATCTCCAAATGGACAAAATTTAGAAACACTTTTCGTAGATTTCAAAGTCAATTAATTTCTGTTTTGCGTGCTAAAAAGCCACCTGCTGACCTGCCTCAAAGACAAGCCTCAGATCGTCTTGTTGCGCATCGTACTCCTTAGAGAAGTCCACGGAGATGGTGAAGGGCTGACCACGCCTCACAACGAGCATGGGTGTGGTCTTTGACTTGCAGATTTCATAGTCGCCTGTGTGGTGGTCCTTGGCATTGACAGATACCTGTAAGTCCACGCCCACAACCGACAATATCTTGTTGGGGTCAGGCCCTAAAGAAACATTTTGTGATCACATTGAGACCAACTAAAAAAAAAAATATATATACTCTGCTGTTGGGGGAAGTAAGATGAAACACGATGGAATATGATATAACATGATTGAACTTAATGGAACATGATAAAACAGATTAAACACTTTAGATCTAACTATGACTGATTGGAACGTTGAATATTATAATATCACTGAGTCGGTTGACCTGGAGGTAGCATACTACATCCTTGAACTTGATCCCTTTCGTACCGATAACAAAACTTAAGAGCACTCTTCTTTTTGGACGATGACGTAATTCCTCTCATTAAAAAAAAAAAATTAGCAACGTCCTTGACCTTACTTGGTAGAGTGTTTCCGGACGAAATTTCCTCTTTCGGCGGGGTTGTTCCCGAAGAGCCGTCAGTTGTCGGTGACGTGACATTAGGCTTGAGTGACTCCTGGTTGTTAACGCCCCCCGCGCCATAGATGTAGTAGTTGATGGCGTCACTCAACAGGGAATTGTGGAAGATGCTCAAATGGCGCCTAGGGTGGTGTTTGGTCCAATAGAGTAATACAGATACACATCTTAACTTACATTAATTAAACAGAATGAACAAAGATAAATAGAAATAGCGAAACAAAGTATGGGGAAAACCTGGAAATAAAAAAAAAGAACGCAAGCAAAACAACGAACGTGTCGGCAGGAAGCCTGCATCAGCGAACAAACAACAGTAAAAACAAAATTAAATCAAAATAACACTTAAACTTAAATGCTCAGTTCGAGAGATCAAATTTTCATTAAAAAAATTTACGAAAATTTGATCATGTGATCATTAGCTGTAATGTAGTATCCGAGAGGACAGCAAGAGGAAATCAAGAGGACAACAAGATGACAACAAGAGGACAGCAAGAGAACATCAAGAGGATAGCAAGAGAACAGCAAGAGGACAACAAGAGTAAAGCAGATGACAGCAAGGGGACAGCAAGAGGAAAGCAAGAGAACCAGTAGAGAACAGCAAGAGAACAGGAAGATGAAAGCAAGGAGACAGCAAGAGAACCAGTAGAGAATAGGAAGTGAGCAAGAGAACAGCAAAAGGACAGCAAGAGGACACAAAGAGGATAGCAAGAGGGTTGTAAAGAAATAACGAGACGGAAAAACGCACTGGTGTCACAAGCTCGCTTGTCTCTCTTTCAAACCAAGGGCAAGCAATTAAGATTTCGAAAGTAATATTCTTGGAATTACTCTGTGATTTTGTGTGTACGTTATTTACCCCGATATGGGGCATCACCGTGATTTTTATCCATATTTATATCTAAACCACAATAGACTGAAATAGTGTCAAGAACAAATACTTACCCAGGGTTGCCAAATATTAAACCACGATGGCTGTGGGAAGTCCTGCCAGGACCAAAAGTTCCTCGCCTGAACATAATGACAACTTTCTGGTCCGGTAACACTACAGAACTAGCGCTAGCTTAGACTGCCGGGACCTGCTGGTTTTATAGTAATAAAGAAGGTAATAAACATGTAGGAGGACAGGCCTCACAGTTAATGGCCGTTCGTGTGTGGGTGTTGGTTTGTGGGTGTTGGTGTCTGAGTGTTGTTGTTAGGATGTTGTGTTGGGGTGTTGGTGTATGGGTGTAAGACTGACTTTGCACATATTTAGCTGTGTCAACAGCAAAGATATAAAGAATTCTCTCCTGCAAATAAAATTCTGATTTTTTTTTACTTTTCTTTATACATATTTTTAATTTATGTGGTTTAATATAGAGCAGTGGTTCTCAAACTGAGGTCGGCATAAATCTTAGGAGACCGCGAAGCGGTTTCTAAGAGGGGGGGGGGGCGGCGTGAAGGAGTCAGATAAAATTTTGAGCTATATGCGATGGTTGCCCCTGGTTGCTACTTCCCGTGCAGGAATCTTTACTTTTTTTTATACATATTTTTAATTTATGTGGTTTAATATAGAGCAGTGGTTCTCAAACTGAGGTCGGCATAAATCTTAGGAGACCGCGAAGCGGTTTCTAAGAGGGGGGGGGGCGGCGTGAAGGAGTCAGATAAAATTTTGAGCTATATGCGATTGTTGCCCCTGGTTGCTACTTCCCGTGCAGGAATCCAATTTAGTTCCTTGGTATGGTGACTAAATTTTGAGAACTATTGGTATAATATAGTGGGTTGGGCACAATGCTTTCTAGTATTCCAGCAGCTCATGCGTCGAAGGTTTAGGCCCACTGTTTTCTCCAGAAATCTTTCGCATGTTGTGAAGTGTCAACATTACGAGGCGTTTTATTTCATGTCTTTCGAAACTCTCAGCAAAAGAAATTGTTGACAAAGTGGACAGATTCTTTGAGGAGCATGGCATCAAATGGGAATATTTCAGCTATGCTTGATTGCCATTCTGGCTCTCAAATTTTAGTTTAAGCAAAAATCCCCAAACATTATTGATGCACACTGCACTATTCATCGACTTATTGGTGAAAACCACGTGTGATGAGTTGATAATTTTTTTCTCAGTGAAGCTATCACTGCAGTGATCTTCATTAAAGTGAATACATTGAACTCTCGATTATGAAAAGAAAGCGGTTCCTAATTTGGAACAATCTTGTTGCACTCTCGCGTGAGGTGGCTTTCCAAAAGGAATGGTTTGAAGAAAGTTTTCACACCACGTGAAGGATTGCAGCTGTTTTTACTAAGACGCTAAACGAAAACATGAGCACACAATGATCTGATTTCCGTTTTTCTTACATCCCTGTCATGATTTTGGGTCGAAATATTTGAATCCACGAATTCTATGAATTCCATCCACCTGGTGCTTCAAAGAAACGGGATTTGAGTGTGCCGTTGTGTTTTCAATTTAAAAAAAAAAAAAATTGATGTTGGATTATTTGATTTCGGAAGGAAAACAATGTAGGAATGTCTGTAGGACTGTTAACAGGACTATTGTTTAAAGGCCGACAGGTAGGGTGTAGGACTGTCTGTAGGACTATTGTTTATAGGTCGGCATATATTAAAGACAATGAGAAGTTTACACTTAAATCTACCGGATATGTGCTCATAATACCCGGACCTGATGTAAACAATAAAAAACCCTGCACAGAATGAGTATTCACCGCCTGGTACAGTTAGTGGCCCTTGAAACCAAATCTCTGTACTTCAGTTTAAGTTAATGAGCATGCACGACCCATTGCCGTTGTAAACGGAAACGTTAATGACCGACATCCTCAATAACAACCCGACACAACAAGATAATGTACGTGTGGTGAACGTGGGAAAAAAAGTAGATTGTCCGTGTGGTGCAAATGGGACAAAAAAGAGATTGTCCATGTGGTGCAAATGGAACAATAAAATCTTTTATTTGAGCGTCCGATGGTTTAGGTTCTCAGGAAAGCTATGAAAGGGAGGCTTCAACATTGGGGGTCATCTCGCCACAAATCACGGCGTGGGGTTAAGACGGGCGAGATTTGACGTATCCTCATCTCCTACTTTGAATCCGGGTAATGTTTGACAACCTTTAGATCATCATTGGACGTTTTATAAGAAAAAAATATTTATTTTTTTAATCACTAAATAAACTGAGGAATGGGGGCGCTGTTTTTATTTGGATGAACATTTTGAAATGTTGTACCTGTACTCAGGTAGACGTTCAGTACCTTAGTTACCAAACTACGTGCCCTGGCCCCCCGACCCCCTTCCACCCCCCCCCGTAACAGCGTATGAAAGCTGTTATTTACCCAAGCCAGCTATTTTACGATGTTTGCACGGTGGGGGGGGGGGGGAACAGACGTAGTGGCGTATGACCCTGAGACGCCGTGGCAGGACTGAATGAAATATTACATCAGTTTATCTTTTATCTCGCCGGCTTGCCAACACCAGAAGGCAGTATCGTGTCTTGGATTATAGCGCAAATAAAAAAAAATAACGTCAAAGATTGTATATAAAACATGTGGGGCGAAACATTAACAACAAAAAAATCAACTTAGTTTACATTAAGGTGACCAATCTTACTGTTTTTATCAGGAAAGTACCGTTGTTTTTTTTTTTTTGGAATAGGGTCCTGATTTGCCGTGAACTGAAACCAGTACAGTTTAATATGACACATTTTGAAAAAAAAATTGATTAATGAATTAATTAAAAGACCGAGTAAGTGTGATATCCAGGAGTAATAAATACATGACAGAACTAAAAGAAATATAATTAATCCAAACTGGCATCAAGATATCTTCTTATTTTTTTCATTTCAAAAGAGCTCCTCACTGACACAAGAGCTCTCCGCGTACTTTTTTCTTCCGGACACACAGGGTGCCAACGAGTTTAAATGTTCTGTTTAAATTTGAAAAATTAAAAATCTAATGTGTGTGTGCGATTTTTTTTTCTTTTCCCTTTGAAAAAAATGGTTACTCACGTTAATGATACAAGAAAACATTTGAGCCAAGATATTTGAGCCAAGATATTTGAGCCAAGATATTTGAGCCAAGATATTTGAGCCAAGATATTTGAGCCAAGATATTTGAGCCAAGATATTTGAGCCAAGATATTTGAGCCAAGATATTTTTGCCGAGACATTTGTTTCAAGACATTTGTGCTCCCCTATGAGAGTTTGTCAAATGGAAAAACAAATTAGATGCTGAAGTTATAAAATAATTTCATATCGAAAATTGCATTAGACTTTTAGACTCATACGACTCATTAGACCAACTATTTTGAAGCAAAATTTCTTCCACCTGTTTAATGCAGTGAGCTAGTTTGAAGCATTGAATGTCGTCATTACACAGGTGCAACAAAATGATGAACTTGTTGACAGTATCGGGGGAGATGAGATAGAAGAACTTTCTGAAAGACAAGCTGAACATAATCATTATGATGTGCTTCCTGCTGTACTAAGGTTTCACGACGTTGGTTGCTCAGAATTTGACAAGACGGCCAAGCTATCGAATGTATCCCTGTCTCTTCGCCATGAAATGATGACTCTCGGAGCCTTTCCTTTTCAGCACACAAACGATCTATCATCAGTATACAGAGATCGCTCAATTACATCAGTATGGTTTAAACGCCGACTAGCGAATGGAGAGGAAGTAAATCGTTCGTGGCTAGTATATCACCAATCAATAAAGCTGCTCACTGTTCCTGTTGAATATTATTTACATGATCGGCTTCAAACTCACGAGCTTCGTTAGAGTTAAAAAAAACGGTTTCAACAAATTGAGAAAGCCAGAAAAAATTAAAGTCTCATGAAAACAACCCGAGCCACCGCATAGCTTTAACGACATGGAAGGAAGCGCAACGAAGGTTAGTTGATGGTACTGGAATTGACGCTGTGGTTCAAGCTCAGGTTCATTTGGAAAACAACGTTGGCGAGATATATTGCAAAGAGTACCCACCTGTATTAAGTTTCTGGTTTCACAAAATTGAGCACTACGCGGCCATGATGAAAATTGGAATGCGGATGATGATAAAACTATTGGAAACTTTCTCGCCCTCGTCGCTCAGTACGACCCACTGTTGGCTAAACACATCCAACTCGTCACTCAGTACGACCCACTGTTGGCTAAACACATCCAACTCGTCGCTCAGTATGACCCACTGTTGGCTAAACACATCCAACTCGTCGCTCAGTACGACCCACTGTTGGCTAAACACATCCAACTCGTCGCTCAGTACGACCCACTGTTGGCTAAACACATCCAACTCGTCGCTCAGTATGACCCACTGTTGGCTAAACACATCCAACTCGTCGCTCAGTACGACCCACTGTTGGCTAAACACATCCAACTCGTCGCTCAGTACGACCCACTGTTGGCTAAACACATCCAACTCGTCGCTCAGTACGACCCACTGTTGGCTAAACACATCCAACTCGTCGCTCAGTACGACCCACTGTTGGCTAAACACATCCAACTCGTTGCTCAGTACGACCCACTGTTGGCTAAACACATCCAACTCGTCGCTCAGTACGACCCACTGTTGGCTAAACACATCCAACTCGTCGCTCAGTACGACCCACTGTTGGCTAAACACATCCAACTCGTTGCTCAGCACGACCCATGTGCACTGTTGGCTAAACACATCCACATCAAAATTCAGACACGCCTTTGGAGGCCCCCCTCAAGTAGGGGCCCGGGGGACTTTTGAATTTGGACCACCCCTCCCCTAGCTACGCCATTGGTCTTGAGTGCAGTTTTAAAGGCATGGATGGTCGGTATATTAAGAAGGTGTAATGGGAGAGAATTCCATTGTTTGGTGGGGGAGGGGGGACACAATGTTTTAGTGCGAGTCTTGGGGACAGAAAGAATAGGCGTGTCTGCGGAGGGACAAAGCTGTCGACGGGGTGAATAGACAGAAAGAAGTTCAGTAAGATAGGAAGGGCAGGGACCAGAGAAAAAGTGTCAGGAAACAGGCACCTTGTAATCCTTATTATCATGTAGTCATCCATTACTAGGGCTAAGCAGTGTACAATGAAGCAAATAGTAGCAAGTGACCAACTTGAAAATTAAACTTATGTGC